GGGAATCGCTGCAGCGGGAACCCCAGTGAGAGGATGACACGCAGCTGCCACAAAGTAGTGCCCACAGGAAGGCACTGTAGCGGTGCCGCTCTCTTGGGGTGCCCAGCCTCCAGCTTGGCTGCCCTCTCCTTGCTGTGGGCTCCCAACTATGGCTCCGTCCCAATCCCTTATATCCTGGCTTATCCGCCTCTGACCTCCTTTCAGGACAGTGCAGCTGATGCCAGGGATTTCAGGGTGGTTCTTTGCACTGCTCAAAGGAGGGCAAACGCAGGGGGACACAGGAAGCAACACAAGTGGAGAAAGGATTGTAAAGGACTAAAGGGTTGAAGAGAGCAAGTGAGTGATGGGGTGGGGCACGCAAGGCTGGATTTGGGTTTGTCATCTGGCTTCCTGGCCCTGACAGGGGCAAGGTGCATGTGGGCAGAGGGCTGTGAGCATGGGCAACATGACCACGTGAGCTGAGAGGCACCGCATCTGGCACGGGTGTTGCTGTCAGAGACCACTCTAATGGGGTGTTGCTCCTCTCTCCCCTGTGGAGGCTGCTGGGGCATGGCCAGGGCACTGCTGCAGAGGAAGCTCGCAGCAGCGCGGGCACGGCTCTGGAGGAAGTTCCCGTGGTGTGTGCCAGATGGCGTGAGGAGCGCTGCCAGAGCGGCTGACGGGGGATCCCAGCCCAGATGGACCCTGCTCAGGCTCCAGAGAGCCCTGGTGTCGCTGACCGAAACTCCCCAGTATGGGCAGCTCTTGCTGGAACTTCAGAGCAGCGCCATTTCCTTGCACCTGTATGACTTCCACCCACCCCAAACAGTGGGGCTGAGACCCTGTTTTGGCTTCTCCCAGCCTGCTTCTTAGCTCACCTTGGTGCCGTAATGTGCTACCTGCAGCACCCCACCACTGCATACCCCCGACACTGTGCTGTACCCCTGCTAGATGGTCACACAGGGTGATTTTGGTGGGGGAAAAATGCCTGCTCCCCTCCATGCTTACCCCAGCCTGGCCTCTGCACTGATCTTTGCTGTGTGTAGGGTTGAGTGGATCATCCGTGGAAGCAGGGGGGGGCAGGAGAACCTGGCAGGGGTGGGGATGTGGAGTGACATGCACCTTACTGCTGCTCCCTCTCTGGGGGCAGGAGATGTGGCTCTCTGGCATCACAATGCCCCATGGCTGGAGAAGGTGGGATGGTGGGAGGGGGCAAGTTATTTTGGACCTCCTAGGGAGCAAACTTCAGCAAGAGCAGCTCTTCCCAATGGCCATCCTCACCCAGGAGCTTGTTTTCCACTTCAGGCTTAACCAGGCATGTCCAAAATGCCTTGTTTCCTCGCCCTTCTCATTCAACACAGATGCCTCCTGGTCTTACCTACTTCCTCATCTCGGGAGCAGGGCCAGCCCCCTCACTCACTTTAGAGCCCTTTCTCCCGTGTCTGAGGCACCACGGCCTTCAGCAAAATGGCTGCTGGCCGCCTCCACGCTCCCGTTGCCTCACCACAGCCTGACCTGGCGGCTCGCGGAGGAGATGGGAAGGCTGAGCTAGGTGCTCGGCTGGCTCCCCCCTCTGTAGGCTGGAGAGGGGCTGAGGGTCCCCCCAGGCCCACTGGCCCCCTACCCTGCCCAGCTTTGCCCCCGGCAGCCACCACGCTCGGCTGAATCTGTTGGCTTCATGCCCTCCGCACGCAGACACAGTGGCTGGCGGATTTGCTCCCCCAAATA